GCCACAACGCCCGGCTATTTTTTGGTTGTAGTTGTCATTATTGTTTGGCTAGATTCAAACCTGCCTGCTCTGGTGTATGTGGCTGGCACCTTAGCCATATGAGCTACAGACACCGAGCCAGCCCACTGTCTTTCAAATATACTATTGCATTTTCTATCTTTTAGCAAGGTCAGACAGGGGTAAAGAAGGGGGTCTAGTCCCACTGACTGGTTTGAGGCTGTGAGCGAGAAAAGCTTATGGCAAAATGAAAACATTACAGGTGTGGACGCCTAAGCTCCTGGCTGATGGCCGATTCAAGGTGAGCTGTCTTTTTCATAGTGCTATACCTTTTGCAGGTTTTTTCTTTCTGTTTTTGGAAGAGACAGAGGTATCATCTCTGTAAGGAATTGGCCCTTAACATCCAAGAGAGAAGGAAGCTTCTGGAACGGCGCCTGCTTTGCAATTCAGTCCCCATTTGATCCTATCCAAGAGTGTCGTCTTTGTAGCATATCACCATGGAGACTCGATCCAACTCATGCTCATGCACTTAATCTTGCAATCTGTTGTTGAATGGCTGATATTCCTTCTCAGGCCAAAGAACAGCAGGTTCTTAAATGAATTCTTTTAAGGAACAAGAGCTGCTGACAAATTGTTTAACCCAAGTCCAGGACACGGCACTTTAGAAATACACAATATTAAACGTGTTATTGTTTGTATAACACAGCTCAGCATGTTTGATTTAAGGCTTGATAAAAGAAAAAGCACATCGGATGTGTTAACTATTCCACTGCTTGTCTAGCTTTCCAAGTTCACTTCACTCAACAAATATGTATCGAGCTAGGCAACTACCTCAAAGCTTGATCATGGAAGTATGAAGATGATAAGGACATGGACTTTGCTCTCAAAGAGCTCGAAGTCTGGCCAAGGACACACAGAAATAAAGTCACTGTAGTATAATGTCATATATGCTATAACTAGAACAACTGATTTTAAATGGAGGTAAACAAGGGGAAAAGAGAACATTAGGGAAGACCTCTCCGGTGAAGTGCCATTTGAGTTTATTCTTAAAGGGTGGATTCATAGGAATTCAATAAGCGGAGTCAGGGAAATGAAAACAACTGCTACCAAAGGCTTGGAAGTATGGCAGGGAAAAGGTAATTAGGAAACACAATAAGCTAATGAGACTTGTGTGTGGAATCGGAGGCAGGGTTTGTAGGGATGGCAGGCAAAGGGGGTGAAAAACCAAACTGGATATCGGCAGTAAAGGCTCTCTGCACCATATTTGTACATGCTTACTGCCATGTAGCAACGAGGGCATTAAATCATAAGCAGTGATCAGAATATGGGTGCTTTTATTAGGACTTTGAACTTCAAACTGAGAATAATGAGGAAGGTCTGCTGGGCTTTTGGTGAGGGAAGGACATTGTCCTATTTGGATTCGAAAAAGCTCATTTTCTTTAGCATATAAAGAAGAGATTTCAGGCAAAACTAGAGGCAGGGAAACTAACTGTGACCTTTGTGTAATCAACTAGGCAAGAGGCCTGAACCTGAGCAGAAGGGATATAGCAGATAGGTAGGGGACAAAATTGATAGAGATTGAATTAGCAGGTCTTAGTGACACATTCAGTGAGAGGAGTGATAGATAACTAAGTCCTAGCCAATGGGATAATTGTGCAGAGGGCACAAAGATCTGCTTGGACAGATCTTTAGTGACACAGCCATACCTAGCAGCTCTGGAGG